CGAATTCCTTCTTTAAATAATCAATTGCCTTTTGGAGTTCTATAGGAGTTCCAATAAGGTTTATGTCATCAACATATACGGCAAGTACAATAAATTCTGATGTTGTTTTCTTTATAAAAACACACGGGCAAATGGCATCATTTAGATAGCCTTCCTTTTAATAAATACTCACTAAGACGATTATACCACATTCGTCCTGATTGCTTTAGACCATACAAAGATCTTTGCAATTTGATTGAAAACATTTCCCGGGACTTTGAATTATGTGCGTTTGGCATTTTAAATCCATTGGGAATTTTCATGTATATCTCATTATCAAGTGAGCCATAAAGGTAGGCGGTAACCACATCCATTAAATGCATGTCAAGCTTTTCATGGACAACAAAACTAATGAGATAACGAAACGTTATAGCATCCATAACGGGTGAATATGTCTCTTCATAATCGACACCAGGCCTTTGTGAAAATCCTTGTGCAACAAGGCGTGCCTTATATCTTTGTACCTCGTTTTTCTATTTCTCTTGCGTACAAAGACCCATTTATAGCCAACAGGCTTAACACCATTAGGTGTTTGGACTACAGGCCCAAAAACTTCACGTTTTGCAAGTGAATTCAACTCTGATTGGATTGCTTCTTGCCATTTTGGCCAATCAAGTCTTTGTCGACATTCTCCAACAGATTGAGGTTCAAGATCCTCACTTTCTTGCATAATGCTAGATGCAACATTATATGCAAAGACATAATCCACCACTATATCCACTCGATTCAAATTTGTCTCAATATCGATTGGATTTATTGATAGTTCCTTATTTTCTTGAGTCTCGGGCTCAGTGGATTCCTCATGAATCTCAGAATTTATTAAATTGTGGATTTCTTCATGAGATTCTTTCGTAGTGTCATTTTGATCATTTATTTTCCTTTTTCTAGGATTTCGATCTTTGGAACCTAATGGTCTGCCACGTTTAAGGCGTGCTTTTGACTCATTAGCTATCACACTAGAAGATTTTCCAATAGGGACATCAATACGGATTGGAACATTCTCCGCAGGGATATGTGATTTTGTTATCCTTTTCATATCCGTAAATGCATCTGGCATTTGATTTGCTATTCTATGCAAATGAATAATCTTTTGCACCTCTTTTTCACAAATTGAGGCGCGTGGATCAAGATGAGATAATGATGGATTTTTCCACAAAATTTCCCGTTTGGTTTCACCAACTTCTCCCCCTAATTTTGGGAAAAGTGTCTCATCGAATCGACAGTCTGCAAATCGTGCAGTAAACAAATCCCCCGTCAATGTTTCGAGGTAGCGAATAATGGAGGGCGATTCAAACCCAACGTATATTCCTAACCTTCTTTGGGGACCCATTTTGGTGCGATATGGCGGTGCTACAGGCACATATACTGCGCATCCAAAAATTCTTAAATGGGATATATTAGGTTCATGACCCAAAACTAATTGCAACGGGGAATATTTATGATAATTTATCGGTCTGAGACGAACTAGCATCGCTGCATGCAAAATGGCGTGACCCCAAACAGAAGTGGGTAGCCTCGTTTTCATGAGTAACGGTCTTGCTATCAATTGCAGACGTTTAATTAAAGACTCTGCAAGACCATTTTGAGTGTGAACATGAGGTACAGGATGTTCCACTTTTATCCCAATTGATAAGCAATAATCATTAATTGCTTGGGATGAAAACTCAGCAGCATTATCAAGTCTAATAGACTTAATTGGATTATCGGGAAATTGTGCCCGTAATCGAATTATTTGTGCCATTAATTTTGCAAACGCGAGGTTGCGAGATGACAATAGGCACACATGGGACCATCTAGACGATGCGTCTATTAAAACCATAAAATATCTAAACGACCCACTAGGTGGGTGAATAGGTCCACAAATGTCCCCTTGTATATGTTCCAAAAACGCAGGGGACTCAATTCCAACCTTTGTTGGTGATGGTCTAATAATTAACTTGCCTTGATAACAAGAAGTGCAAGAAAATTCATTATTTAAAAGAATCTTTAAATTCTTTAATGGATGCCCATTTGAGTTTTCTATAATTCATCTCATCATAATTGATCCAGGATGTCCCAATCGATCATTGCCAAAGTACAAAAGTATTGGACTCAGTAACCTTTTGGTTTACAGTAGAATGTGCCTCAATTGCACTAATTCTTGTCCAATACAGGCCACAAGATAAAGATGGGAACTTCTCAATAACCCTCTTTTGGCCAGAGACATTCTTGGTAATGATGAGATATTCAAGATTATTCTCATCTATTGTCTTAATATGATATCCATTTTGACGGACATCTTTAAAACTCAACAAGTTCCTCTTGGACTTGGAGGAGAACATTGCATTCTCTATAATAAGTATTGTTCCCTTAGGCAAAGTTATAGTAGCTCTTCCAGAGCCTTCAATTAATTTACTACTACCAGAAATTGTAGTAACATCTTCCTTACACATACTTAAATGAGAGAAATATTTCTTCTCTTTGAATATTGGATGTGTTGTACATGAATCAACTAAACAAATATTTAGTCCAAGTTTGCTTTGTGGAATATCCATATTTGCTTCCCATGGGTTGACATACAAAAATGAATATACGAATAAACATTAGTATTTTCAGAGAAAAAAAAGGAAAGGAAACAAAGTTTGAATATAATGAAGTTTAAGGAGGAAAGAAGGCTTTTCAATCAAATCATGAATTCTGTCTTCCTCATCCAATTACAGTAAAAGAAAATGTTTCCGCCATTATAACTCAAGGTTGCATTATTTATACCCAATAATCCTAATGTCGTTACAATTTCAACAGATTATAAATCATGTTTATTTGTCATTTTGTCATAATGTGCATGTTGTTACGTCACATTAACTAGAACACTCATGAAACTACATAGTGATTCTATGTGTTCGTAACGTGCAGACTCGTATGGTTCTGACTATAGTTCTTATTAACAGTAACTAATTTTTTATATCATGTGCAACTATAGTTATTGTGATGATAATAAAAACTTTAGTAACTAATAAACAGTCAACATAAAATACCGTATTCTTAACCTACATGTATACTATAATTTCTTATCAAAATGATATAAGTAGTCTATCTGTATGAAGTAAACAGAACAATAAAATGATAAATAAAAGACAAGATTGTTTCCAACATCACACGTAATTTATGATTGTATATGTTTGTATTAATATTAATTGATACTAATGACTACTACTCATGTAAAGAACTGTGATTACATGATGTTTATCTAGCTACTACGAACAGGCACAAATAAAAATTGAACTACTCAATCATCTTTAACCACGGATCCATCACCGATCAAGTGGTCTATTTTTCCATCAAGGCGCTCAAAGGAGTCTGCCACATCCAAGTGGGTGATGTCAAAATCATTGTCAGAGACAAAATTGGCTTCAGGGCCTTTATTTTTTAGAGATGCTTGATAAAGCTCAACCAAATGTCTTGGTACACGATAAATATTTGCCCAATGCCCTTTTCCACCGCAACGATAGCATTCAGTTTCTGAACCATTTGCTTTTGGCTTCTCATCTTTCCCTTTCCGCTTTTGATGGTTATTTCTCTTTGGGGGATGATTAACACCAGGAAAATTTCTTCCTTGTCTACGGCTATGGCCACGGCTACGACCATGACCACGATCACGATTACGAATAGAGTCACGGCCTTTTCCACGCTTAGCATAATGGGAATACACCTCATCCATTTCAGGCAATGGTGTAGACCCAGTGGGTTGCTTTTCGTGATTTCTCATGAGCAAGTCATTGTTTCGCTCAGCCACAAGGAGAAGAGAAATCAGCTCAGAGTACTTCTTGAAACCTTTCTCTCTGTACTGCTGTTGCAAGACCATATTGGAGGCATGAAACGTTGTGAACGTTTTTTCAAGCATATCATAATCAGTGATAGTGTCTCCACAGAGTTTCAATTTAGAAGTAATTCTGAACATCACAGAATTATATTCAGAAACAGACTTAAAGTCTTGGAGCCTCAGATGAGCCCAATCATATCGTGCTTGTGGAAGAGTGACCAACTTTAAGTTGTCATATCTTTCTTTTAAGCCATTCCACAAAATAAGTGGATCTTTGACTGTGAGATATTCAATTTTCAACCCTTCATCAAGGTGATGGCTCAAGAAAATCAAGGCATTAGCACAGTCTTGGGTGGATGCTTTATTTCTGTCTTTAATGGCGTCTCCAAGACCCATGGCATCTAAATGGATTTCAACATCCAACACCCATGTCATATAGTTCTTGCCCGAAATATCAAGGGCAACGAACTTTCTTTTCATAATGTCAGTCATAATTAAAAAGAGGAGAAAAATTACCTTAATCTTCTCAAAGAGCTTCTTGAGACGGTAGAGTCTCGTGCTGATAACGTATTATAAAATAATAAAAGCATAAGAACAATATTGCAGAGAAAAGTAGAGAGAGAGAATTCTTATTGATTTGGGATGAATTACAATGGAATAGAACCCTCTATTTATAGGGAGAGGTTGACTTAGCCACCAAGTAATAAACCCTAGAATCTCTCTAAATATGGACATTCACCATACATAGAATTCTATTTATAACAATACTATATTTATCATTTGTAGCTATACTTTCAGCAAATTTATAATTCGTAGCTATATTTGAATTTTATAGTAAATCCATGAAACAAGAGATTAATTATGTGGACCGAAACAAAAAGCTTTGTAGCTCAGTTGCTTAAAGCGCCCGCTTAGTTAGTTGAGGTCTTGAGTTCGACTCTCAACAAAAGCATTTTATTTTTTTGTATATCTGTATTTCGCCTTGGTTGTATTCGTTGTTCGAACGAATAAAGCCTATACAAGTTGCATCCTTTATATACACCCTTGTATTTCGCCTTGATTACAATTGATATATGTTGTATTCGTTGCACGAATGAATACAATTGCACGAACAAATACAGTTGATACAGGTTGCATTCGTTTCGCGAACTAATACAATTGATACAGATTGTATTCGTTGTGCGTTTGAATACAAGTGATACAAGTTGATGACAATTCAGCAGTAACTATGAATGATAATTAGGCAAACTATAGTTAGTAGGCTCTAAACTATAGTACTTTATAAAAATTCCTCCTTATTTTATTTGGGTATTGCACCTAAACATTCTCCATGTACTTAAATGATAACCTTGGAGGAACCAAAACTCGCTTTAGTTCTGTCCATTTTCCTACAGAATACAATGGACAATAGTAAAAGTCGGACAGCATAAACTGTATATGATGGCAGCAGCAACTTAACTCTTCTCCAGATTCTCCATACCATTGATTGTACCAGATAGGAAGGGTTGAGTCTAGAATTACTGAAAACAAATTCATTGCTCTGAGTCACCATTGTCATCGACTCGTACCAAACACCAAATCATACACATTTCATAATCCAAAGAAAAATATAAAAAAGACGGAGTATTTTGAAATTCTCATGGTACTTCAAGAATTGCATCGATTATGCAATCATAACTATTAGAGAGGCTATAAAAAAAGAAAAGATAGTCCATTCTGGACCAGGTAAGTGTTAAATGCAATTTGTCTAGGCATCTTGTATTAGCTTAAAACAAACCCTCCCTAAGGCAAGGTACTGGCAAAATAAAATCAATACTTGTACATGCAAGTGTGCACATAAAAAGAATAGGAAACTTTTCTTACTACTGCACTGATTATTATTTTAATTTTCCTCTTCTTAGCAAAGGCCAAAATAACAGATAAGAGAGGCCTTAGACTAATCTCAACTCAGCAAAATTAGCCAAGACCTGGAGCGCAAGAAAAAGGTTAAGCAGATACTTGCACGAACGAATAAAGCATGGGATGTGTTTTTATTGCTGTGGAGGGAAAAATATAAGTACAATCAGAGGCCCTAATGCCAATGACTGGAGGGGCTCTCGCGGCTGTGCATGAGAACAGAAGAGTAATAAAAACTTAATGAAACAACTCAAACCACAACCTCACAGCATGATACGTGTTTGTATGACAAAACACATCCTTCAGTAGTCAGTCACAGTCTTTAAGCTGCTTATATATATCTGCAAAAGGACGACAAAAGGTTTCAATCATCTTCTAAAGCATAACAATAGTGCTACAGAATAGAACACTATGAGGCAAGTACATACATTTACAAGGTATACAGACAGGAGATGATTGGCCGGCCATCCTTTTCATCACTTTGGCCCAAAAGAAAAATTAAATCTGATACTCAGACGTGCAACTGCCATTTGGCTATGCATTAGGATTTGTCGGCTGATCATCTTTCCAACCTTTCGAAAGCAAATCATAATTGATTGATGCAAGCTGGGATAGATTCTGCAGGAAGAAAAGTTAATAAAATTTGACCAGCCAATCAAATATGTAATGGCTCCTTAGCACCAACAGAAAACATAACATATAGCAAATGTAACAATTGATTGATCAAAGCTGAAAGAGAGCACCAAAGGAAAAATCATATAGAACATCGCGAATCTATGTTGTAGCGCAAAACAAGGAAGCACATCAGATGAGGCAACATACAAGTATTTTGAGGATATTTTCTTTTTTGATATTTTTCCAGTCATGTGAATATATGTAACTAGTCCTAGTCCCCTATGTAGTAGGAGTAGATTATGTATTATGTATAATTATAAATAAGACTCACTGTAGATAGGTTATGTAATATACTTCACAGTGACCTTGAGGTTGAAATTTATATGGAGCAACCACATGGTTTTGTTGCTCGAGGGGAGTCTAATGGCCTTGTATGTCGCTTGCGCCAGCCACTTTATAGTCTAAAGCAGTCTCCTCAAGCCTGGTTTGGTAAGTTCAGCACAGTGATCCAAGAGTTTGGCATGCCTTATAGTGAAGCTGATCACTCTGTGTTTTATTGGCATTCTGCTTCAAATCTCTGTATTTATCTGGTCGTTTATGCTGACGATATTGTTTTTACCAACATTGAACAGGATAGTATTACTAAGTTGAAGAAACATCTCTTTCAGCCCTTTCAGACTAAGGATCTGGGCAGATTAAAGTATTTTTTGGGTATTGAGGTCGCTCAGTCTAGCTCAGGTATTGTGATCTCACAACGGAAGTATGCCTTAGACATTCTTGAGGAGATAGGAATGACAGGTTATAGACTTGTTGACACTCCGATGGATCCGAATTCTAAACTTCTGCAAGGACAGGGGAGCCTCTTAGCGATCCCGCAAGATATAAGCGGCTGGTTGGTAAAATAAATTACCTCACATTGACTAGACCTGATATTTCCTTTCCTGTGAGTGATGTGAGTCAGTTTATGGATTCTCCCTGTGATAGTCATTGGGATGCAATTGTCCGCATTCTTCGGCATATAAAATCAACTCCAGGCAAAAGATTATTGTTTGAGGATTGAGGCCATGAGCAGATCGTTGGATACTCAGATGCTGATTGGATAGGATCACCTTCTTATAGACGTTCTATGCCTGGATATTGTGTCTTAGTAAGAGGTAATTTGGTGTCTTGGAAGAGCTACAGAATGTGGTTGCATGGTCTAGTGCAGAAGCAGAATATCGAGCAATGGCTATGGCGACATGTGAGCTAATTTGGATCAAACAGTTACTCAAGGAGTTGAAATTTGACGAGATCAGCCAGATGGAACTTGTGTGTGATAATCAAGGTGATCTTCATATTGCATCAACTCCAGTGTTCCATGAGAGAACTAAACATATGAGATTGACTGTCACTTTGTCAGAGAAAAGATACTCTCAGTGGTCCTTGTATTAGTTACATAAACAAGCTCAGTACATATGATTTGTATGGACCAGCTTGAGGGGGAGTGTTATAATAGTTATGTGAATATATGTAATTAGTCCTAGTCCCGTATGTAATAGGAGTAAGTTACTTATAAATAGGACTCATTGTAACATAGTTAATACATCAATAATATTTTTCCCGTGTATTATTTCTCACATTTCTAGTCCTACAAATATTAGTCGGCGTTATCTTAGTTTTGCATATTTTGAGATTAATAAACATTATTTTTTGATAAGGTGAGATTAATAAACATCATTGTGAGGCTGGAACCCTATTTGTTCGGAATGAACCTTTGGGTTACTCTCAAGCCACGGTAATTTTTCCTTCTTCAATTTGCATCTTTGGTTCTTTTTTATCGTTCTTTATGGGTGATTGGTTTTGATACACCAATTGTTTTTCAGACATACAGATAGGACAGTAAAATTGGAATTGCATTGCATGAATGACATTAATCAATTTATTTTCAATTATTACTCGTGTTATAACCTGAATTATATCACATTGTGTTCTATTGCCAAATTCATGAGTTCTAAGAGATTATACATCTGCCGGGACAACTCCTCCATGAGATAATCATCATTGTTTTACACACCTATAGACAACTCTTCCAGTGTATTGGAAGTTTACATGACCAAACCATCTGAAGTTCCTCTCATTATCTTCTGACAAATGTGATAAGTTTTAAACTTATCTAATATTGTAACACCAATGTCTAGCTGCTGGCGATCCTACCCAGTATAGGAATTGGATATTTAGTAAGTTATGTTAGGAAGGGAGTACAGAAACGCTTGTTGGGAAAGCGGAGAAAGACTATAAAGGAGATTTGCTTGGTGCTGATTTAGAGGGTGTTAGGATTGGCTTATAAAAAGTAGCTTTTAAGCTGAAAGCCAAAAGTCATAAGTTGGTAATACCCAACTTTTGGCTTTTGGCTTATTTTTGTACTTTTTATACCTAAAAGTAAGTGCTTTTAAGCACCTTTTATCATTGCCAAACACCACACAAATTAAAAAAGTGCTTAAAAGCCAATAAACACTTAAAATAAGCCAATCCAAACACCCTCTTAGCTCTACTAGACTAGATGCAACTACCCAGGCATCCAATACACTAACTTCTGGACTTAAACGACATTCCCTCAAGGATACATTAGTGTCTTTTTAGTGAAGGATTTTCTTATGCTCGAAACATGGGTTCTAGAATTTTTCCGTTAATGGGTTTACTTGTACTAGAAAAAGAAGAGTCCCGATGAAGGATTTGTATCAGAGAACTAGTCGATAGATGTTATCTAGTTACACCCCACAATGGGTTCTAATTTACAAAATCGCATGTTTATGTTTATGGAACAACACATGGCATTTTTCATTTTTTCTTTTTCTTTTTTTGTGTGTGGAGAGAATCACTCAGTGCAGGGATCACGGAATGATTGGTCCACCAGAAAAGGAATAAATGTTAAATTCAATTTTGCTTCATTTTCATTCACTTGATTCATTTTAAGACATTATATATTCTTTTATCTGCATCTCAACAGCACTAGTCTTGTTGATTTGTTAGCCTTAAAGATCCAACATTCACTCAGATGTAACATTGCCGGTTTCCAACAGTTCTATAAAACTTGCCTTTCACATTGGTCGGTATCCTCCTATCACAGGACACTCTCATAGCCCTCTTTCATTTCAACTGTCATTTTTCCAATCCATCATTCTATCCTCTCTCTTAGAAAGCTGAGACTAGACATTTGAAATTTCTGCACGTAAGCGCCGCAAATACATCTATGGTTCAATTTTTTGGTTGACTATCTAACTGGTTTCCTCAATTATAGCACAAAATGATTTGCAAATACCATACACCATGAAATTTCACCTCATATGCTATTGGTCAACTCATCCATAACTAAGTGTAAAGGAGTACAAACACAAGGCTAATCACTAGTGTAAACCCATGGCAATTTTTTTAAAGAATGATGCACGGTTATAGAAACTCTTTTGTATCCCCTCCCACTGTCTTACGACTCTTTCCTACATATCATTTAAGGCACTTATGCTATTTGATATGAATTCCATTCTTCTCCCTTACCCACCAACTCACAAAGCTATTTTTGCACTCAACCGTACTCTTTATCCACGTGAAGATGTTGCTTCGTCTCTTTAAAAATTTCCTTCAGTTATCTTAGCAGAAATATAAAACTCAGTTGTAGATCTATTAGGCACAAATCCAAACTAATCTTTTGTCACCTGCAGGAATGTCCTAAGTCTAAGCTCTATCACTTTTTCCTGGTATGACTCATAGGTTCAATACCACAATTGTTATATACCAGAATCAAGAAACTCTTTACTTGTTTAGCATGCTTTCTCTCCTTGTTATAACATTGAAAAGCTTAGTAAGCCAAAATGACACAAAGCGATAACAATCAAAAGCAAAGGAAGCATGTATCAAGTGTCGTGAATCAAAGTATAATCGAACATAAAATTACCTTGAATGAGAAGTTACTAAAAGAATAGTTGATGGAAGAGCCTGATTCAAATTCTGCAAGACCGCCACACTCATCAACCTGTTCAGCAATGCATTGAAGTTAAACACACACACCAACAAAATATCCAGATTCCCAAATAAACCTAAAATACGTTGGTCGTAAACATACCAGTTCATCATGACGATTACTTAAACAACTGCTACTACCGCTAACACTACCATTGTCGCTAGAATCCTCAAATTCACTGGCTGCATATACATGTTCATCTGAAGGATTCCAAGAGAAGCGACTGGTGAAGTAACTTGTATCCAGTGCACTTTCTGAAGCAGGCACAAATGCAGCCTGAGAAACATACAACCGTTGGTGCAACAGCGATTAGCTTACGAGGGACATCATTGATCTATCAGCTACTATACACACAGCAAAAATGAAATAGAGATTGCAGTCAAACCTTCTGTCTAGCAAGTGTGTCCCAGTTAATATCTCTAAAAAAGGGGTGCTGCTTCACCTGCATGAGAATTATTTTTGTTTCCAGATGAATTCCAAAGATTTAAACTTTCAAAGAATGAATAGAACTAGGTTCATATCAATGTTGATAGCAAACGAATGTCACCTCTGAGGCTCCTCCGGCTCCAAGTCTCTGGTTAGGATCTTCTGTTAGTAACCTGAAATTGACAATGACAGCAGCCTGAAATTGAGAAACGGATAAGATATAGTTCTATGATACATCTGTTAGACAGAGAAGAAAGTCATGTTTAATTTTATATTTTTGATATGTATTTGTGTTTAATTTGAGAAGAGAGTCATGTTTTATTTTTCTATTTTTTTATAGATAACTGTGCTTAATGTTATTAAAGCTTGGTCATCCTAATTCAAAGAACTGAGACGTAGACAAGGCTAGTAAAATCTGAGTAAATGCACTTGAGGATAATAGAATTAACTCCACTTGATAATAGTATTGGGATGAAATGGGCACAAATAGAGCCAAATGGATCCAGCGGAGTCACTTCGCCGACCAAAACCTGTTTTGGATCAGGCATAGTTAATTCATTGAACTCCATATCAAATAGTAGGTTCGAAACCCCCAACTCATTCTCATTTGGCAGAAGAGATCTACTTAGTGATATGACTGGTCAAAATTATTCTTTCTGCGGTGTCCCTTTTTTTCCTGTTCCTGAGAAAAGGATTTGTTAATATTAAAGAGTCCCCGGAGAAAGTAGTGTCCACCTTCGGGAGTCGCCAAGTGCATCCATGCACATGAGAACATCAAGGTGGAGAAAAATTAGCTAAAAGCATTTGAAATTTGCTATAGTGTCACAACCGTGTTCAGATAATTTACAAATAAAATTTTTAATATATTTTTTGGATAAGGTCAGGTAAAATAAATCTTGTAATGAAAACATTAGTGTTGTCAAAACCAATTTAATGATCCACTGCCTCTCGGAAGTCCATAAAACTGATTACTCACATAGGAAAATAACATCTCATAATTCACGCATGCTTCTGCCCAGAAACAAGAGAAGGTAAAAAAAAATACTCACAGCTAAGAAGCAAGATTACGTTGGGATTCAAAAGATCAGCCAGAAAGATTCTCTTACCGGTTAATCAGATCATGCGCCTCAAAACTCATTTCCTCAGGAACTCCAGGCCAAGGTATATTACAATTGAGAATATTGTCGAATATTTTCTACATACAAGAAAAGGTTAATACAAAATTTAGAAGTGCTTATGCAAAAACATCAGCATAATATATCCAAGAAAATATAGAAACCGCTAAAAGAGTGCTACTGTCAGCAATTAACTGTTTATATACCAAGTTCAGAATTTGAGAGTTACATTCACTGTTGCATTCAATAATTAACGTCTAAAATTGTTAAGTGTAATCAATAAAGACTCTTAAAAGAAATATGAAAAGAAGACAGCAAGTTATTCGACAAGAGAAAGTATTCCATCAAATAATCTCCATAACAACAACAAATCAAAATATGTGATTCAGATTCACTAAAGGAAATAATAATCCAATAAGAAGGTAACTAACTAATGGTATTTGCTTGCGAGCTAATTGTTTATTGATTTAAGAAAGCAAAAGAATAAAGCAGCCAAATGGTTATCAGAAAAGAATAAAGCGGTCAAATTTAACTTTTTCTGGTAAGTACTAATATAACTTGAAGACAGGGCAGCCCGGTGCACTAAGCTCCCGCTATGCGCGGGGTCCGGGGAAGGGCCGGACAACAAGGGTCTATTGTATGTCAGCCTTACCCTACATTTCTGCAAAAGGTTGTTCCATGGCTCGAACCCATGACCTCCTGGTCACATTACAGCAACTTTACCAGTTACCCCAAGACTCCCCTTCCAGATTTCATAAATTTGTCATGAGTATAACAAGGATTTATTTAGTTGATCCCAACGAGTTTCGGGTTGAGGCATAGTTCATTGATTGGTAACTCATACCATGAAATAGCAGTTCACAATACCTATAAGTGATGTTATTAGTAATAGATCCATAAACATCTAGCAACGAAATTCATATAATTTACTAGGACTTCCTTTTTGCTCTTTAGTTTTATTATTAAACTCATTTAATAAACAATAACAACGACTACGCCTCAATCCCAAACAAGTTGGCGTCGGGTATATAAATCATCACTGCTTCATTTAAGCTCATTGACAATCTTTATTGCTACATGTTTTCTTATTATCTTGCTGTTGATACTGCTTGTTCCCTTATTATCTTAGATGTTGGTATTGCTGGTTGTTACTGCTTTCTTTTTCTTTCCTTGAGTCGGGGGTCTATCGGAAACAGCCTCTCTACCCTCAAGGTAGGGTAAGGTCTGCATACACACTACCCTCTCCAGACCCCACTTGTGGGATTATACTGGGTTTGTTGTTGTTGTTGTTGCTTCATTTAAGCTCAACTCATATTATCACTTATACCAAATAAATGAAAAGTGAATAAGAGAGTGTATATATGCGCGCGTGCGCGCGCGTGTATATATATATATAGATAGATCTATAATAAAAGTTCTCTACCAAATCTAAAACCTATTCCCAACTAGTAGATATCACCAATATGGATCTTTTTCTTCCATTGTGTCCTATATTTAGCTAACTTTGCACTGATTCCAAGGATTGTTCTATAAACTGAATTATTTTTTTAGAAGGTAAAAAAAAAACTTTTAACACTAAACAATACTATTTTTTCCCACCTACCCCTAACCTCCAACCTAGCAACACCTATTGTCTTTCCTCCTTTGGTGACTCGAAGTCCCAACCCTCACTCATCAACTCTAAAAAATGCTAAGTAAACTAGTTATCATCATGTAAGACATATTTACTCAAAAAAAAAAGCAGCTTAAAGTCTGGATAACACGCAAAAAACTATAAATAAATCAGAAAAGATGAAGAGTCAATGTGAGGGCAAAGAATGTCCCAAGTGCTACAATGGTGACTCGAAGTCCCAACCCTCACTCATCAACTCTAAAAAATGCTAAGTAAACTAGTTATCATCATGTAAGACATATTTACTCAAAAAAAAAGCAGCTTAAAGTCTGGATAACACGCAAAAAACTATTAAATAAAGTAACTAGAAAAGAATGAAGAGTTCCAATCGTAGAGGGCAAAGAATGTCCCAAGTGCTACAATGGTGACTCGAAGTCCCAACCCTCACTCATCAACTCTAAAAAATGCTAAGTAAACTAGTTATCATCATGTAAGACATATTTACTCAAAAAAAAAAGCAGCTTAAAGTCTGGATAACACGCAAAAAACTATAAATAAATCAGAAAAGATGAAGAGTCAATGTGAGGGCAAAGAATGTCCCAAGTGCTACAATTGTGAAAGAAAAAGCGAAAACGCAAAAACACGCTACTTTCTTTAAAATGGAGATCTAAGTACATCGTTTTCTCATAAATACATTTAGGTCCTATTTGGTTTAATCTTTTTCACCTGATTTTATGATTAAATCAGTTCTATTAATTAAATCGGTAATCATTTGAGGAAGTCGTTCCTTTTTACTATATCCACATATTTCTCAAAATTCAGATGGTTAGTATGAAATCAGTTATTAATGTACGTTGAAGCAATTAAAGTCGGTTTCATATTCCAAGTGAAACAAGCTGTTAGGAGATGAGTATATTTCCACCAGATAGAAACTAGCATTATTTCAAGTATTTTCCAACCTTATAGCTCCAATTTTAATAGGATGTCCCCGAAAGGACATTTCAAAGTATTCCAAAGACTATGCCATCTCTTCCCACAATTGAAAAAATTGCGTAGGCAATATAGAGAAAGATTTGAACATAACATAAAGCATAAAGAATAATAGTTGTTCATTCTTCTATATAAACACAAAAACTGATCAACGATATACACTCATAATGTCACATGGGACAATAAACAATAAATACAATTTTACAAAATATTAACCTGAGGGTGCTCCGCATTGAAAGGTGGAATGCCAACAATCAACTCAAAGAGGATAACACCCACAGACCACCAATCAGCCGTGAAACCTGCAAAAAAAAATTAAGCTGTGGTAACCACTTAACCAGTAACATAATGGCACCAAAGAAGAATGTTATCACATCCAAATAGTTTTCTTCCAGGTTAAAGATAAATCTAAACCACAAAGATATGACAACTTAAACAGAGGCTTAATACGAAGATTTGAATATCTCTAAACCAAGCAACAATTTCGACAACTGAGATTCATCATCTTCCATCATGGATGACAACAGGATGATATATATCTGATTGCTTCATCTGCCACTTCTCAAAAGATAAATTAGTAGTTCATTGCCGTTGATGGCAGACAACAACAAATAAGAGAAATACATACCATGCCCTGTTCCTAGAAGGATTTCGGGTGCCAAATAGTCTGGTGTGCCAACAGCAGAACGTTTCTCGCGCTTCTCCTGCTGACGCTCAGGTGCCAATAACTGAGATTCATCATCTTCCATCATGGATGCTCCACTGACTGCCGGACCAGACAAGTCATCTGTGCTATTGATAAGACCAACTTTAGAAAGCCCAAAGTCCGTCAACTGTAAACAATAGCACCATTATAGCTAACTCATCAGCACGAAAACTGCACGCTTAAACATGATAATGAACTTCAAACCAGAAACCACAAAAAAAACAGGTCAATCAGGAACCTTTGCACTTTAGCTTGACTACTATTAAGATCTATAGGCAAAAGAGCAGAATAATAGAAATTCAACCTCACTAACAAAAATACTTAATGCATTTCAAGCAAGTTTATCCAAAGATGAGCTGCTTTTTAACAATGGCAAACATCTGTACATCAATTGACAAGACCTGCTTACATCAGCAAAAACTATGAAATAACACTTCAGTGACTTGCGCTTGAGAAGGGATAATTAACATAAGCATACTCGACCCAAGCAACAACAACAAACCCAGTGTAATCCCACAAGCAGGGGTTTGGGGAGGGTAGTGCGTATGCAACCTTACCCCTACCTTGTACTGGTAGAAAGGTTGTTTCCGGTAGACCCTCGGCTCCAAGCAAGCGACCCAAGCTCAAAAAGGAAACAAATAATATAACGATGGAAGGACAATACAAGTACGGAAAAAAAGGCTGAATTATATAACCCCCAAAAGAACTGTAGAAACAACTTGACTTAAACCCTATGCACTAAAGGGTATATTACTTCATTAAAACCCTCAATTGCTTTTATTTATTAGAGGATTTATCATGTTAGATTCCATTAAAGAACCTAAGAGTGCTTTGGCAAAACGATCTGTGGTTACGTAGCATTTCAGAGTAAGCTGTTACACTTACTATGCAAATAGTCATATCCATGGCAACAAACTATTGTAAACCAATATATGTTTATCGTGTTTCACTGAATGACGTGTTCCATAACTTTTAACTCGATTAAACAGTTGCCTTAATTATTCTATATTCCAAATCCAGGCCTTTATTTTGGTCAAGATTGAAATGCATAGCAGAATTACCAACTTGATGTGACAAGCCTGGCCCAAGCCCACTCATGAAATTTCCCAGTTCGATACTGTGAATTACAGGTTGACATTCACATACATCCCTGACACGCTGGCAAGCTACACAGTTAACAACATGGATACCAAGCAATTTTTGATAGCCGATAAATCCCGAAAACAAGTAGGTGCACGGCCGAAACTTGGTAGATATTAGCTCCGCCCCTTTGCCCTTCACTTAAATACCAGACTTTGTCCACGCTGGGTTTGAACTCGTGACGTGCGCCTAACCCACACATCACTCGTCGTACTCTTACCACTGAACCAAAGCTGGGGGGGGGGGGGGGGGGATGCAACATGGATACCAAACGTGCACTTGCTAAGATAGAAAGAAACAAGCTGGAGGATCTAAGAGAACTGTCTTCAAACCAACAAAGTAGGGGAACCAATAAATTGTCCCCCCTCCCCCCCCAATTCCCAAAAAGTTGAAATCCAGAACTAACATATCTGGAATACAAGTCCAGTTAAAACAGTCATATAACTCCATTTCACTCAATCAATCAATTGCACCTCAATCCCAAACTAGTCGTGCCTACTATATGATTCCTCTATAACCATTCTGCTTTATCGTGGCCCATTTCACAATTTGTCTTCTAAGATAATTAGGGGGTTCTCTACTACTCGAAAGTGCTTTTAAGTCTCACACTCATCCCTACACCGATATACAAGTCTCCATCCAGACTATAAAGACTCCTCGCAAACACGAAAAACTGACGTGTAGCAACACCTAAACCTTAGTCTCAACTTATTGGTATCACCAATATAGATTCTTTGCTTCCATTGTGCTCAGTTCTTTAAATCCGAATTGACAGCACTTATAAAAGTAAAATATAAGAGAAACAATACCTTGATATGACCATCATGAGCAATCAACAAATTGTCTGGCTTTAAATCACGATGAACCACTCGCAAAGAGTGCAGATATTCCAGAGCAAGCACCTGATCAGCTCAGAGTATCAGATTTATGTTTAACCATGTTGTGCACATTGATTGTAAGGGAGATATAAATACTCACTACTTCAGCGATATATACACGAGCAACATCTTCATCCAAGCAACCAAGATTCCTCAACAATGAATACAGGTCCCCCCCATTCAGGTATTCCATCACAAGGTACAAGTTTTCACGGCAAGTAAAAGAGTAGAAGAAGCGAACCTAATAAGTAAGAAATTAGTAAAACAGTTTATCATGTCTAGAAGTAAAAGCTTTCTCAGTTCACCATGCTCACCACAAAGGGATTGCGAACCGATATTAAAATATCGCGTTCCGCCAAGATACTCTCAACGGCATTTTTGCGTATCATATCTGCCTTCTTCAAAACCTGTAGACTAAACATGTAAGTTGGACAGCCACAATAAACATCCTTTTCTGACACACAAAATCAACACTTGTGCAATTAAGATATTGACTATAAGGCTAAGAAGAGGTGGGATCACAAAAGCAGCATACTCTATCACCAGCACCCATGGAGGGCCAAGTTCTTTCTCACCTTGAGTTGAGCAAAAATTTCATGTATGCTCAAAAAAGTATAAAGCACAAATAAGGCATAAAACCAAATTCAACTGAATGAGACAGTAACTGATGCAGGAAAGCAGAATGGTTCTCAACCTAAATCGTCGTTCCACAGACCAGAAGCTTCCGAGAAGTAAAAATAATATCATCAGAGAAACCAACAGACATGCCGACAACATATATCCAGCAGAATACATGTGGGAGACCTCAGTTAAACGATGAAGAAATCACACCTCCCCTGCTCAAGACCTTGAAAAGATATAGATGTGCAGACGCCTTTTTGATAGGAAACTGAAGCACACATATATACATCATAAAGTTAACTATGCAACTCCCTGGAATTGCCAAAAGGCAATTGGGTAATGAAGGTTTTAAGATGGTTTTTTTAATATACTGTTTATGTATTCTTTTGGTTCTAAATGTTCTCTCGCCAATCTCTTTCCTTTCCTCTTCCTCAGGTTATGGTGTTCCCAAGTGATGAAGAACATCTTGCCGTTGTTACATAATCCTTCAAGATACATCCCCAAATTCATCATAAATTCCTCTTCTAGAGATGACAAAATGCATATGAAAACAACTTGATGACATGGAGTTCTTGTTTCAGTTGTCTCTTGGCTGGGACAAAGTTTTAGAGGTGCTTGCTCACATATCACATGAAAATCATCTTAAAAGGAAAGGAAAACACGACAGAAGGTTGATCAACACAAAAATAAATTAAAGAAAATAAAAGGCTTACGAGAGTTGATCAACAAAAAAAGAAACTCCTATAGCAAACTGTCAGTAGTACCTTAATTGCAAAGAAATCTCCAGTTGCTCTCTTTTTTGCCAAGAAAACACGGCCAAATGCACCACGACTAATTGGTTTTATTATCTCAAAGTCATCTATAGAGGTACGGTCTTTCGAATGAATAGGGCTGGTTCTCAAGCTACGTACAACATCATCTTCCAAGGGAGCATCTTCATCAATGACAGTGCTAGTGATATCAACCTTGTCATCATCAACTAGTTCGCATAGTTGCAAATACTTCTCCCTGAAGTAGAAAGACAAAAGTATTATTCCTTCCTTTTATTTCCAAAGTATTATTCCTTCCTTTTATTTCCTAAGTATTATTCCTTCCTTTTATTTCCTCCGTAGTCACCGCCTGATGTCACAATTCTTATAATTTATCTTTTTCTCGGAAAGCACCAGCAGGGTTAAATCACAAGCAAGAAACTAAATTACCTTATCAGCTTTTCTATGCGGGTTCCAAACGTTTCCACTGTAAGTGCATCCAACTTTCTGCGTTCCGTCACAACTTTCAGATCTTCAAGGCAAGAGAGCAAATAGGACAGAGACTGATCATCATCTAAAGGCGTATTTGCCACACATCGAGCAATATCTGCCAGTTCATTCATCTGCAACATAAAAAATTATAACATCAAAATGTCAAAATTCAGAACTCCTGAAAATATGTGTGAGAAAGCACAGGAGAAAATATATTATTAATGTATATTCATATGTTACAATGAGCCCTATATATATACACACATAACATGTCCTACTCCTAATATATATTGGATTAGGGTTATTTATTTACTCCTATTTACATGACTATTCTAACACTCCCCCTCAAGCTGGTGCATATAAATATATGTACCGAGCTTGTTACATATGTAGTTAATACGAGGACCAGTGAGGGACTTGGTGAAAATATCTGCAAGCTGATCATTCGACTTCACAAACTTTGTAGCAATATCTCCCGAGAGTATCTTTTCTCTAACAAAGTGACAGTCAATCTCAATGTGTTTAGTTCTCTCATGGAACACTGGATTTGACGCAATATGAAGAGCAGCTTGATTATCAGACACAAGTCCCATCTGACTAATCTCACCAAATTTCAACTCCTTGAGCAACTGTTTGATCCAAATTAGCTCACATGTCGCCATAGCCATCGCTCGATATTCTGCTTCTGCACTAGACCGAGCAACCACATTCTGTTTCTTGCTCTTCCAGGACACCAAATTCCCTCCTACCAAGACACAATATCCAGACGTAGAACGTCTATCAGAAGGTGATCCTGCCCAATCAGCATCTGAGTATCCAACGATCTGCTCATGGCCTCGACCCTCAAACAATAAACCTTTGCCTGGAGCTGATTTTATATACCGAAGAATGCGAACAACTGCATCCCAATGACTATCACACGGAGAATCCATAAACTGACTCACAACACTCACAGAAAAGGAAATGTCAGGTCTTGTCACTGTAAGGTAATTTAATTTACCAACCAACCGTCTATATCTTGCAGCATCGCTAAGAGGCTCCCCCTGTCCTGGCATAAGTTTAGAATTCGGATCCATCGGAGTGTCAACCGGTCTACAACCTGTCATTCCTGTCTCTCAAGAATATCTAAGGCATACTTTCGTTGTGAGATCACAACACCTGAGCTAGACTGAGCGACCTCAATACCCAGAAAATACTTTAGTTTGCCCAGATCCTTAGTCTGAAAGTGTTGCAAGAGATGTTGCTTCAATTTAGTAATACCATCCTGGTCATTGCCGGTAATAACAATGTCGTCAACATAGACCACCAGATAAATACAGAGACTCGAGGCAGAATGCCGATAGAATACAGAGTGATCAGCTTCACTCTGAATCATGCCAAATTCTCGAATAACTGTGCTGAACTTACCAAACCAGGCTCGAGGAGACTGCTTTAGACCATAAAGTGACCGACGCAAGCGACATACAAGGCCACGAGACTCCCCCTGAGCAACAAACCCAGGTGGTTGCTCCATATAAACTTCATCCTCAAGGTCACCGTGTAAAAAAGCATTCTTAATGTCCAGCTGATAGAGGGGCCAATGGCGAACAGCAGCCATGGATAGAAAAAGGCGGACTGATGCTATCTTAGCCACAGGAGAGAAGGTATCACTGTAATCGAGCCCAAATATCTGAGTATATCCTTTGGCAACAAGACGAGCCTTAAGACGATCAACCTTACCATCCGGACCAACCTTGACTGCATACACCCAACGACAACCAACAGTAGATTTACCTGAAGGAAGAGGGACGAGCTCCCAAGTACCACTCGTATGTAAAGCAGACATCTCGTCAATCATAGCCTGTCGCCATCCTGGATGAGACAATGCTTCACCTGTAGACTTAGGGATGGAAACAGAGGACAAAGAAGATAGAAAAGCATAATAGGGTGATGACAAACGATGATAACTCAAACCGACATAATGGGGATTAGGATTAAGGGTGGCCCGTATACCTTTCCGAAGTGCAATCGGTTGATTAAGAGGAGACAAGTCCGCAGTATTAGCAGGGTCAGGTGCAGGACGTGAATCAGCTGGACCTGATGCTGGGCGCGGACGACGATGATATGTCAAAAGTGGTGTTCCTGTGGCAGGGAGTCTAGGAGGAGCCACACTAGACTCCTCAACGGCTGGAATGGATAAGACTTCTATAGCGGAAGGTGAAGGAGGAGCTATAGGAGACTCGGGTAAGACTTCTGTGGCGGAAGGTGAAGGAGGAGCTATAGTAGACTCCTTAAAGGTCGGTATAGGTAAGACCTCAGATATATCAAGGGGGTCAGAAAGGTCAGAAGAGGTAAAGAAAGGTTTAGACTCAAAAAATGTGACGTCAGAGGACATAAAGTACCTACGAAGATCAAGTGAGTAACAACGATAGCCCTTCTGAACACGAGAATAACCAAGGAAGACACACTTGAGAGCACGAGGAGCTAACTTATCTTTCCCAGGGGCTAGGTTATGAACGAAACAAGTGCTCCCAAAAACACGAGGGGGAACAGAGTATACGGGTGATTGGGGACACAATACTGCATACGGTATCTGATTCTGGATGGGAGAGGAAGGCATCCGATTAACTAAATAACAAGCTGTGAGAACTGCATCGCCCCAAAAACGCAGCGGAACATGAGATTCAATGAGAAGTGTGCGAGCAGTCTCAATGATGTGCCTATTCTTTCTCTCTGCAACCCCATTTTGCTGAGGGGTATAAGGACAAGAGGTCTGATGAATAATTCCTTGAGAAGTCATAAACTGCTGAAATTGAGAGGATAAATATTCTAAGGCATTATCACTGCGAAAAGTGCGAATGGAAACACCAAATTGATTTTTAATTTCAGCACAAAAATTCTGGAATATAGAAAACAACTCAGAACGATCTTTCATTAAGAAAATCCAAGTACATCTTGAATGATCATCAATAAAACTAACAAAATAACGAAATCCCAAGGTTGAACTGACTCTACTAGGACCCCATATATCAGAGTGAACTAAAGAAAAAATAGACTCTGCGTGACTCTCAATACTACGAGGATAGGAGGCTCGGGTATGTTTCCCGAGCTGACATGACTCACACTCTAATGTGGATAAACTAGACAAACCAGGCACCATCTTCTGAAGCTTGGATAAGCTTGGATGTCCTAAACGTTTGTGAATTAGGTCCGGAGGATCTGTAACTAGACATGCCTTGGAGGATTTTAGGGAGTTAAGGTAGTAAAGCCCTTCTGATTCAAGTCCTGTTCCAATCGTCTGCCCTGTACTGCGGTCCTGCATAATAAAAGAATCATCAATAAAATATATACCACAATGGAGGGCACGAGTCAAACGACTAACAGATGCAAGATTAAAAGGACAGCCAGGGACATAGAGAACGGAATCTAGAGTGACAGAGGGTAGGGGATTCGCTTGTCCAACTCCTTTTGCTTTGGTTTGAGACCCATTGGCTAAAGTAACAGTGGGAAGAGACTGTGAATACGCAATATTTGACAAAAGTGATTTATTACCAGAGATATGATCAGAAGCGGCTGAGTCCACAACCCATTGTCCAGGAGGACTAGACTGGGAAACACAAGCAAAAGAATTACCAGCAACAGAAGTATTAGTCTGAGCAACAGAAGCTACTTGTGGAGATGTCTGCTTACTTGCTCGATACTGAAGGAACTCATTATACTCCCCTTCAGATAAAGAAAATCCCTGGTTACCTGTAGTCTCAGTCTGAGCAACATAAGCATTTTTGGTTGGGCGGCCATGTAAAGAATAGCATACATCACGAGTGTGTCCAAGTTTATGACAATAGGAGCACTTGGGTCTAGATCTTCCAAAACGACCTCCTCCTCGTCTATTTTCCATAGTATGAGATGCCCGATTGTCCACTGATTGGGATACGAGGACAGATGAGTCAAGTGTCTGTGATGAGCTCACTGGGTGACTAGGTGCTGCAGCAAGGCGAAGTAATCGAGAGAATAATTCATCAACTGAGGGGACGGTTGGACTAGCCAAAATCTGGTCACGTACTGAATCAAGGTCATTAGGGAGTCCAGCGAGTGTAAGAACTAGAAACATCTTCTGTCGTTGCTCTTGTTGTTTTTCAATACTAGCAGAAACTGGCATCAACGTCTCAAATTCTTCCATGACTGCCTGAACTTGTCCCAAGTAAGTAGACATATCTAATTCCTGTTTCTTCAAGCTTGTCATTCGCGATATTACATCATAGAAACGAGATATGTCATTAGTGTATAGATTACGAGCCTTTTCCCAAACTAAATAACATGTCTGGAATGGACGGAACAAGGGCATCAACTTGGAATCAATAGATCGCCACAGGATACTACATAACTGAGCATCGACCTTCTCCCACTGTGTTTTGGCCTTTTCATCACCTTCGCTAGCCTTTTTTGTTAAATGATCTTGAACTCCTTGACCTTTACACCACAACTCGACAGATGAAGCCCAATCTAAGTAGTTTGAACCTCCCATTAAAGGTTCTGAGGTAATCATAACACCGGAACTGCCAGAACCCGGGTTTCTAGACCCGAAAGCATCGACTCCCAAAGACATGGTTGGATTATCACCAAATAACAAAAAGAATCAACTGAAAATTCTCTGAAACAGATGAAGAAAACACTGTGTTTGCCGGAAAAGTACTGTAGCTGCCGGAAAAATCAGTGTAGTCGCCGGAAAAACTCAAAGTGGTCGGAATCAAACGAAAAAGGTATGGACAGACTCGGAATTACTAGGCGATCAGACTGTCCAACTGGAAGATTTTCAAAAAATGGCCGAAACAGTGCTCACGCGCCGGCGCGTGGGGGCGCGTGGGTCAGATTTGCCGGAATATCGCCGGCGCGTGAGGGCGCGTGAGGTGGTGTTTTCCGGTGGGGTTTACTGGGGTTTGGTCGCCGGAGCCTTGGGAACCCTGTGGTGGTGTTGGTTTTTGCACAACACTGATAATTAGTGACTTTGACGCAATTAGTCACTTAGGTCACCGGAAAATTGCACGGTGACTGAGTTGTTTCTTCCCGGATATCGTTGGAATGACGCACAACGATAAATTTCTCACGGTTGCTCTGATACCATGTGAGAAAGCACAGGAGAAAATATATTATTAATGTATATTCATATGTTACAATGAGCCCTATATATATACACACATAACATGTCCTACTCCTAATATATATTGGAGTAGGGTTATTTATTTACTCCTATTTACATGACTATTCTAACAATATGGAAGCAGGTTATTTAAAGAAGTCAATACCAAATATACTACACTAACACGAGCAACTGTAGGATATAAGATAAATATTACTGAAGCTTTACAGTGAGACAGGGAAATATCATTATAAACTCTATTTCAATCAATATGTTGCAAGAAACACAAGGTTCTCAAACTTCAAATGGAGCAACTCCAAAGAATAAGACGGAAAATACAGCTCAAATCAGAACTGAAAATGCTAATCATATTTCCACTTTAATAACAACTAAGCAATTACATATAATAAACCAGTGAAAGATATATACAAGTCCATGCAGCCGTTGACCGCTGCAAAACAAATTCTTACCTTGATCACCAAAAAATAATGAAATTAAAAAGTAGGTAGTAGATATGTATTGGCAGCTACCTGAGGGAGATCGTCATGCTCAGAGAAACCACCTTTACCTGCCAATAACAGGTCTATCTGACTGGTCCTTGGTGTCTGCAAGGGGGACCTAGGGGTCATGCTACCTGCAGATGATGTTGTCATTCCTTGATCTGACTTTGGTCCAAAGCGGGTTTTACATGACATAGTGGGTAAACCTTTAAGTTCATCCATGAACATAGAGTTATCTGCTTCAGGAAAAGAGTCCAGCATGTCTTCTGAACCTCTGCGTGACCAATCACTAAGCTTTGGAGAGAAAGGTTCAGATTCCTCGGTTACACTAGAGTTTGATATTTTTGCGACATCTGGACTTCCAACAGTTGGCTGGAAGTCTTTCTGTGAAAATGACTCCATGAGCTTCTCAAGAGTATCTGCAATTCTAATCAAGCGCTCATTGACACTAAGACCCTTTTGATCACAACGATCAGCAATAGCACAAATTCTGGAGTGGTCTTCCACATGCAAAGTGGGAACCTCCTCCTCACAAATGCGACAAATTATTGAACTTTCATCTGATACACTTGGTTGATCACCCCAGTGGCCCCAAGAAACTTTATACTGGTGCTTGGAAGGAATTGAAGAGTGTGCATGAGAGTCTTTAGCAGAAAGAAGCTGAGGATGCTTGGCAGCAGCTAGATCTACATCAGGAGTTCCTCTTTTGTTCATAAATAGCTTTGAAGGTTCAATATTGCCATCAATCGTGTCCTCCTTGGTTGGAGAAGCTTGTTTGGGACTTTTTACTGCTGGAGTTGGAAGTTTCTTCCAGGATGCCATTCGATCTTCCCTTCCACCAGGAGACTCCAAATTTTTTAGATTTTCAGCTTGCAAGGCCTGAGAGTCTCCTTGCTGTACAGCCTGATCTCTCTTCCACTCTAACCCATGTTGTTCCTGACTATAAAATTTTCTTGGGGCCGGCACCTTTGGGAATTGCATAGGACCAGACATCTTACTATTTCTTCCCATGCCTGGAGAAATGCGTTTTTCCACAGGCTGCAACGATTGACGAAGTTGAAATACAGGTTCATCCTCAGCAAATGCACTTTCCTTGTGGAATTGAAGCAATCGTGTACACCTTGTAAGTATAAAAAGCATCCTAGTATGCAGCTGCTTCAGTGTACCCATTGGAAGTTCCTGGCGTCTGTCATCCAGGTCCTGAACAATCCCCTCACATTGGAGCCAAAATTCCCCCGGTGATGTCATTGCACAGCTCCGAGCCAAAACCAGCAAATCTTCAATCGTTTCCTGCCATTCTGGATGAGTTTCTGCATTTTTTTCCAGAACTCCAACCAGATCTGCCGCGAAAATACGCAGATCAGAGTCCACTTCCTCCTTTGCTTTGTCGAACTTTGCTCTAATCATCGTTAAGACCTCCTTTTAAAATTGCAAGGAATTGGTTATAGTTGAACCAATATTAAGATCATTCATTACTAACTTAAAGAACCAAGCACAAAAGATTACATTACCTCTAAATTGTTTAAACCTCGAGGCTTCCAGAATGGATAAGGCCGTACACCTTTGGAATTAAGTTCATGGGAGAAACTTTTTATATCTGCAGGAGACCTTTTCCTAGGTGCACTGGTTACCCGCAGTATAGCTTGAAAGCGAGGTGATTCGGACTCCTTTGGATTATCACATTCATAAGATGTCTACAAAGCACATTTTCATTAGACTACGGGTAACGCTACAGCAAGAAAGAATCAACTAATGCAATAGGTATTCATTAAACCTTTTTACCTTCAATTCGGGAGTACATACATCTATGCCTCTGAGACCTCCAGAATGGCCCCAAGATGAATTGAATTGCCCTATCAAAACAATGCCATAAGCAAATGAAAATACTTACTCATCGTGAACCCCGCAAAAATCTATAGTCAATAGGGGAATAAGGATATGAAATTTTGGATCATGAGTTCATGTAAAGTTTCTGAGCTCTCAGATGATGTCCACCATTATCCAGATAAGTCTAATAACAAATTAGCTCTCAATCTTTTTTTCAAGCTTATTAGATGGTTTCTGTAACAAATTAATTACGCTAGTGAATTATCAGCAAGCAACAACACATTTCCAAGTAGGAGAAAATGAAAGGACAGAAAGAGAACTTTTCGACTAGAATTTACATAATACATAAAGTTGTGAGCAGTCTAGAATTTGATCCCTTTTATAGCAACTAAGGATAACGAACATGCTATCAATTTCCGTCATCCGAATGCATTATTGCCAATTTAAATTTTTTCCCTATGTTAATTTGTAGCAGGATAAATGGAGACCAAAACAAAAGCAACCAAAAAAGGGAGCAGGGTGGCATAAGGTTTAATTACCCACTGTAGTGAAAAAGTAGTTGTACAATATCTTGTGAACTAAAAAGCATGGGAGAACCAGCTGCATTTCCTTAGTCTAATGCCTATTCTCTTTCCTCAATGTTCCTGCACTACGTACATAATGTGTTTAGCAAGCCAGCTAATTTCGTACTCATGAACCTTTATTAGCCTCTGCGCATTAATGAGAGAGCTCTTATGTACTATGACAACAGCTAGACCTTTTTTATCAGTAAGCAAGACATTTCATTGCTATTAATCCTAGCAGGATTACATAATGCCTCATTTATACCTCTTCAGCTGTAGTGCTACTATTTTTTAGCAAGAAACATGTTGATTCCCGACATGGCTCGGTTTTGTAATATGAGTCATTATATGAGCCTAAATTTGTCACTAAATCCGTATTTTAGTTAAGGGGAGTCTCTTCAAGTTTTTTGCGACAAAATTCAACTGAATTGGAATGGCCAGAAGATTCTAACCTGCTCCAGAAGATGATTCATCACTCTGCAGCCTTGATGGGCCTGGTATATGTGGGCTTCTCTCCTTCAATGGAGCATTCTCGGGAGACCCCAATACTGACTTCTTTTCATCCTTCTTCACTAAACTCTTCATGCCCGAACCAGAACTCAATGACGGCCCATCACCGACAGTCTTAGACAAGTTGCTGGAACCTAAAGCATTTCCTTTCTCTCTACTACTACTCCCATATCCAAAAAAGCTCTCCTGCGGCAACGGCCCTGATCGCGTTTTAATTTTATTCAAGCCCAACGATGACGCCATTATCGGTGACAACGGAAAAGAAGCAGTAGCCCCAGCAGCTTCTTTAGTAGTTTCCGTTACCCCTCCTTTCTTCAAATTGAACGTTGCCGCCGTTTCTTTTTTAACTTCCACACTACTTGGACTTTCTTTGCCTTTATTAGTAGCATCCTTATCCTTTTTCTTCCTGTCTTTGAAGCTAGCAGCAAAACTTGACAAGGAAGTAGGTGTACTTGGAGAGTTGTCCTTAGACTTGCCTTTCTTCTTATCGGATCGGACCGGAGAGTTGGAGTTGGACCCGCCGGATCCTGGACTATTGTAAGATCCATCTGGACTTGAGGTTTCCGATTTCTTTGATGAGAAAAACCGACCTTTGAACACCATCTTAGTACAGTAACTGATTTTGATCGCTAGGGTTTTTTTTCCCTCTTCTTCTTCAGCTATAATTTTTGAAGTGAATGAATCACAGCCCCAGCAAGCATCGAAGATGAATGCAGGGGCTGCGATGTTGGACTAAAGCATGAATGAGTGAAGATGCGGAGTTTGGACTGAACTTTCCGTTTCTGTTTCTGTTTTTTTTTTTTTTTTTTTTTTTGTGTGTACTCTTTTGGAAAAGAAGGAGCGGATTACTGAGCGGAATGTTAGGGGGCGAGGATGTGATGGATAAAGAAGTGGGGTTGAATTTGAAGTAGACCAGGAAAAGACAGACACTTTGACAGTTGAGGAAGTTTCTTATTTTATATTTTAGTTTTTTGAGTTGGAGTTTTCTTATACTTACATCTAAAATAGAAATATTAAAGAAAATCATGGATATATTTATTTATTTATATGGATAAGGTTGAAAGTAGTCAAATGGTTAGATACGGAGAAAGATGTTTATTTATTATGATCGTGATTATGGAGTACTATTTTAATTTTAATATACTGACTTCTTATAATTTATTAAGCACCCATGTATATCAAACTTTTTTATATTTATATAATGTTCAAGAGTTTTAAAATTTTAATTTTATTTAACTAACTAAATCTAAATGTTGATAGGATGTTCCATCTTTTTAAACTAAAATCAATTATTCCATCTGTTAATACTTTTGAAGTTTCTTAGCATGTATGTTTGATGATTTTCGTTTAATGAACTTATCTTTTCTAGCTAGGAAACGATGTTTAATAAAATATAGAGACCAAGTTTGGAGGCACCACAAAATCAAGAAAGAAAAAGAACATAAATCATATATAAAGCAAAATTGAACAAGCGTGAATCAAGAGAAAAAGTTAATAATTGTGGTGACTCACAATTTTGAGCTTAGAATTCGTTCATAGCCTGAAGAACGCTTAGCTTCACCGCAAAAAGAAAGGAGGAATTTCAGTGTTAATTTTCTACTACTTTTTCTAATAAACGGAAACAATGAAATAATACCTCTGATCCCAAACATATTAAATTTGCTTCTAATATTTGAAGACTTTTTAAAAACAACAACTCAGTTATAGCTTTAGTTTACTGTTTCAATTAGTGAAGTAGTTGAGTGAGACATCTGTCTTCAGACATAAAGGTATTTCGACAAATAAGATTACATTAAATTAAGCTATTAAATCTACTAGTAGTATTTTTTTAAGGGATCGTGCAGAAACTTCAAAAGACTAGTAATATGTGAAAGTACAAGAGGGGTGAATTGTTTATTTTTAAACTTAATAGCTATCAGGTGACTAGTTTTACAATTGGTCGACTAAATATAAGAATTTGATACTAGTAAAGACAGAATTTAAGATGCAGAAATTAAATGCAGAAATTATAAACACCAGAGTTTTTATACTGGTTCGGATTAAATGTAAATCCTTGTCCAGTCCCCTTGGGTTGCAAGGGAGTTTTTTTTCAGCGAATGAGTTTCTTCGAGAATACAGAGAATGGTGTGATCTACACCAATAGCTTAGTTCCTATGTCACTCGTGTCTTTTGATACAATGCATCACCAGTGTTGTTCTTTCTTTCTTCTCTAACTTGTTACACAGCAGATCTAGTAGAGCTACAATGTTTGTTTGCAGTAGAATAAAGAGAGTATTTGGTTCGATCAAAGTATATAGCTATAAGGTACAGATACAAGTTTAAATACTTTGAGAGAGGCTTGGTTTCTGGAGAGATTTGATCCTTGGAAAGGAATTGATTCTTTCCAAGAATAAGGTCATATGGTACGACTATGTTGACGAGAGACTTGAATGATTCTTCATATATGCTTCCCAAAATCTCGCTCCTTCCAGATTTGGATACGCTCGATTTATTTGATTCCTTGAGTCTGGGCTTGATTGATTCCGTCTTGGCTTTGATTGATTTCTCTAATTCTCTGATTGCTTCCCTTGATTCCTTCCATCTCGTAGCTGTCCATTGGTTCCTTGATCTTTTCTAATCTCGGATTGCTTTCCTTAATTTTCTTGATTGATTGCTTCCATCTCGTAGCTAACCATTGATTCCTTGATCCTCTCTAATTGATTCCTTCAGTCTTTGAATGCTATCTGTGAGTTCTTGCACATAGAATAGATATATTATTTGCATCATTAAAATAAAATCTAACAATATGGACTAGAGGGGAGAGTATAAGTTTTAAAGATAACAACAAGGCTTCCATTGACCGGGAATCATGGGTTTGGGCTAGATTCGAAAATTAGGCCTAAAAATGGGTCGTTTGAGCCCGAAATTTTATTCTTTCTCCGTAAACAAGACTAAAAATACTACCTTATTTACCAATTAATCCTACTTAAGTAAAATAACTATTTAAATAAGACTCTAAAACAAAACTATTTTTGCTCAAGATTAAGAATGACTACAAAATATTAATGAAATTATTTTTTTGTAATTTTCTTTTTCTTGTAATAAAATAAAATAAAAGAGTCAAACTTAGTTGAAATAGCGATATTAGGCCTAAATTAAATATTTACGTGCAAAAATATGGAAAATCTTGGGGAGGGTCAAAAACCACATGTCTACAAGATACGTTTTGACTGATAATATAATACATGCACTTTATTCTCTAGCTATATCATTTGCTTTGTATCTTGTTATTCATACTATTCCACCTCGAAGCCATCTCGAGTTCTAGATTTGGCTTGCACATTAGTTTTATTTATTTTATTCTTCTATTTATACATTTAATTATTTGTTTATCAACTGATATTGGATTAAATCACATATCCTTAAAATCACAATATAAGTTTAATCTGATATTGGATTAAATCACATATCCTTAAAATCACAATATAAGTTTAATTCTTACTCGGATTTGAGAGTAAACATCTATAGCACTAATTACATATTATACATTACAACATTTAGATTGATTGTTTTATTAAATATTCAGAATTTCAATCAATTGGGAATAAATATATATGGATAAACTAAGTTTGTCAAAAATTAAAATAAATGTTTGTTTTCATAAATACGAACTTCTATAATTCTTTATCTGAGCTAAATACTAAAATTGTACCAAATTTAGTTAGTGGTTTTTGGCACAAATGACCTAACAGCATATATAAAACTAACATCACGCCTACAATTACTTCCTAAGTGGTAAAATTAATATTTTCACTTTGCGGATTATGCTTTGATTTCAGTATAACATTATACATTGCCGATTATGCCTCTATTTAACGTTTTAAATTTATATTGTTCTTATTTAGTCTTTTAAAAATTTACCCCATTAAGTTTTTCTGTCAGACAAAGTTGGATAGTTATTAGGATTTGGATTACTGTTTATTCGACAAGTTTATTTGGAGTGATTAAAAGCACTACTAACAATAATACTAATTCTATCAAATATATAAATACCATTATTTTTTAACGAATACAACTACACATATTGGAGAAAATCCCAAATTTGACAAAGCTTCCAAATTCCAACACTTCAACTTCACAAACTTTCAACTCAAACCCTTATCTACACCTTCAATATTCCATGGATGCTAGTTAATTTTTATTTATTTTTTGGTTGAGAAATTGCAGGTTTGGTGTTTGGGACTTGGGAGGGTTGTTTCGCGGTAAAAATAGGTCGCTTTATTTCCTGCGAGCCAAGAGATAATAAGCTTAGATTTACCCGAAAATATGTGTAAGAGATGGGTCCACGAATATGTGAGATAAAAAGAGGCTTCACACAACTAGTATAAGTTGTGTGAGACACAAAGTAAAATCACTCGATTTACCCACACAGGCTTCATTAATAGGAGTACTAAATTAAGAATTTTAGGTCTTGATTTTGATATTTGAAATATCAATATTTAAAAAAAAAAAAAAGAGCTACATAACTAGAAACTACTAGATGTTTATGATTAATTGATTAATTTATGATTACCAACAAAAGATATTTATAATTATTAATTTAAAAATTAGAAAAATTGTGGTAAAAGAAAAATATATTTGACCGTCCTACAAACCACACTAGTAGCATGTTTGGTCGTGCTTCTTTTTTGGTCCAAATTGTTTTTTTTTTTTTGTTTGTTGCTAAAAGTGCTTTTATTCCAAAGTTAAAGGTGTTTGGTCAAACTTTTAGAAGGAAAAAGTGCTTTTGAATATAAGCATAAGCAGTTTTTTGAGAAGCAAAAAAAAAATAGTTTCTCACAAAAAGTACTTTTTTGAAAATACTTTGAGAAAAATGAATTTAGAAGAACTTTTTAAAAGCTTGACTATACACTAATAACTAATTGCGGCTCAAAAATAATTTTAAATTGATTAGCCAAACACAAACTGCTTCTCATGAAAAATACTTTTTAGAAAAGCACTTTTGAGAAGAGCAGATTTCAGAATAAGCTTATTTTAGAAGCACGGCCAAACAAATTATAACATCTTGTTTGGATGGTTGTTAACTATTGTACTTTATCGTATTGTTACTTTAAATACGATATTTATTTTGGTAATTTAAATTTTATTGTATCGTATCGTTCAATTCGTCGTTACGTCGACGAAATGTGCCACTTTTCGTAACGACCGATTTGATGTGGTTGCATCGCTGTCTTATCTTTTTCTCTCATCTCAACCTTCATTATTATTAAATAATTTTATTTTATCATTTACCCTGCCTTTTTATATAATAAATTTATCCCGTATCAATTTTTTTTAATAATATTGCAAGTTTATTATTCATATTGTTGGTGCATAATATCATGAAACAAAGGCAAACGATACAATCTATTCAAACATTATATTCATAAAATGCTACAGTACAATATAATACGATACATTATGAAACGATATGTAACAACCATCCACACAAGTGTAAATTGAGCATGGGCCAGCCTCATGGGCCGAAGGAGCGAACTAGACGAGTTATTTGCATCTATACCCGCTTTTTGTGTCACGTTTTAACTTGTGCCCACTTTGCAAAAAAAATTGCAAGCGTACCCGCTTTTTCGCATAACTTCAGCATACGGGGCTGAAGTAGCAAAGGCAATCACGCAAAACTTCAGCATTTTAGTAGCCGGACCTGAAGTTCAGCTCTAGAGCTGAAGTTTTTGTTTTGTAACTGGCGAACTTCAGCTCTAGAGCTGAAGTTTTTGTTTTGTAACCTGGAAACTTCAGCTCTAGAGCTGAAGTTTTTGTTTTGTAACCGGGAAACTTCAGCTCTAGAGCTGAAGTTTTTGTCTTTGTAACCGGAAAACTTCATGATGAACATAAAGGTGATAATGGTTGCTCAGT